CGATTGGTATCAAACGTTTGCTGTCGCGACAGAAGGTGAGAGGTATAACTCTTCGAGTCTCTTCCACCTAACTAACCACATGCGAGTGCATGGCGCATCTTAGAACAGGAAGTCTGCTGCAGAAATGTCCATATCCAATTGTTCACACTTACACATATTGCTCTAGGAAACCAATGTCTTCAAAATGGACTTGGTTGGTCCCCTTATCGCGCGTGGTAACCAGCGCCACTTACCACTACATCACTCCACCCCATATTTCCGGTTAGCAATCCTTCTGCTTGAATATGTAACACTGCTAGTGAATTGATCGATTTTGAAATGATATTCCTCACCAAGATTCGATCCGCATACTCCTCTCAGACACTATGTTTTTAGACTACTTTCTGTGGTAATTCACAGAAGAACACAGAATCAGAATCAAACTCACTTTCTCATAACTGATTCGATCTTGTACACAAAGTTGCTGAAGTTCTTCTTTCTGTCTGGCTGCTCCTCTTTCAACGCCATCTCACGTTGAACAAGACGGTTGATTTTCTCCTGCATAAGCATGCCTAATGCAGGAGTGAAATCGGCGCCGACACGCAGAAGAAGGTATGGTAGCACACCATGGATGTGAACACATATCTTCTTACCTGAATTATGAACTTCAAAGGTAATAACAAGGAGTTCTCATTTTCTTCCATGACTTTCATATGGAAAATCAGAGTCCTTCGCTCAAGGACCTGTGAACGATTAACCTAAGTATTTACTAGCTTGACGACAGTGGGATTCACAAATGAGTCATCAGTGTGATTCATATGCAAATCACACCAATGCGATTCATTTTTTTAGCGCTTACGCAATATTTTTGAATTTTGCTTTTGTTCTATAGTTCGTTCCTGGGTATAACCTCAAACAATTTGATCCATCAAACATACTTCAGCCTTGAAAATATTAGCCTGCCTTACAGAATTTTCACTTCGGTTCCTTTTAGATTTCCCTTTTTTGTAGAGACGTAGGAAATGGTCGCAGAATTGAAAACAAACCATGTGGATACCCGAGCGTGTTCAATCAATCGCTCTTAACGCCCACTGCCATGAGAGGTAAAAAAGCGCTATCTCAAGATACGAAGGCATCGTGGTGGCAAGAATTTTGAACCGCCCAAAACAAACATCTGTGTGAAAAATGGGACTAAGCCCTGAGCGGGGTAGGAGAGACTCTGAAACGTGAACAATTTTTATTTTTCCTCCAAATTCCTGCACTCCCTTAGGCTTAGTCCTGGAGGACACCCCTCTATTTTGCAATAGCGCCGTAAAAATTGCTTTTTTCTACCGCTACATGTTCTTTAGTCGAAATTCTTCTATAATATCCACAGCCAAGCACGCAAGGCACCGGTCCCACACGATCAAAAAGTGCCGAATACGCGCTGTTTTCTTAGGTTGCCGAACTCAAATACAAAAGCAACCTTCTGGAGTCACTCCGAAAATATGGAAGGTAGGAATTTGTAGCATCAGATTTGGGTATAGGAGACGATCAATCGCAGATGGCGGAGACATGCTGTATTCACAGAGAACATTCCGGAATCGGAATGCTGGTTCGACCATCAGTACCGTGATGATGGAAACCTGAAAGATGTGAAGTCACATTTTTCTCCAGGTAATCAAAAAGAATTGGAACTAACTTGAAATTGTGGTATAAAGCGACAACATTAGGCGTTAATAGTGCATGTAGTGCAAAGGACTAGCGACGACAGTGAAGGCGGAATCGTTCACTTCGGTGAGAACAGACACATTGTGTGGTGCAGAGCGAGCATGCAAAAGCCACACGGGGACTGAAAATAGATGTGTATTGGAGAACTCTCGTGTAAGCCACAAGAACACAAAATGCACCAGAGCCTAGCATGAGAATAAGAACATTCTCTAGCCAAAAAGCGATTGCCCAAGAACCCTTTGGACCCTATTTGTTTATGAAAGTTTGACAGGATATAGTACAGCAGAAACGCTTTAATTTTGTAATCCAAAGCATTGGAACAATTTTTAAAGGGCTTCCGAAGAGGATAAAATGTCAAATGATTCTTGGCGTCTCCTCAATGTCACATTCTGCGATCGAAATGAAGTACTTTCGCTCAAAAAATAGATGTACTGCGCTCATTCGTCTACTCATGAAGGAGAGATAAATCTTCCCAACAGCCCTTAAAATCATCCGACGCGGACCGTTTGGGCGTGTTTTGCTCCTACCCCTTCGGGGGAGGACAGTCCACTGGCACAGGGTGAATAACGGTCGAGGAAATCCTCGACAGGGGTCGTATTTGCTCCGATGAGAGTTGGGAGGGGGTCGTAATCAAAAGGTTCATCAACGGACACAACGGTGCTGCTGCCACTTATTTGCTGTCATCATTAGTTTCACAAGTGTTGTAGTTAGCCCATTCAATGCAGTATGGCATAGGAAGGCAAAGCGTTCTGCAAAAGAATCGTATTAGGAAAGGGCAGCGAGACAACAGGCAGCCTTCTTGGCATCATCAGATCCTGCAACCGCAAGCGTGTCATTCATCAGAACGGGTTGGAAAGGAAGCGATTTGAATAAAGGAATGATCAGACATCACTATGACCACAAAGTTATCTAATTAGTTATACTGGAAATATCTTTTGGTGTGATTAAGCAAGTCGTCACTAGGACAAAACACCTTCCCAATGACTCCGAGTGGGGTCACTGCATGGCGCATACAAGAACGGAATGGATCTGCGCCAAGTGCATCATTTTCAATTTACTCCATCGAACTGACGTGTACAGAAGCATTTTGAAGGTGTTCAAAGAAGTTCCCTACTACGGCGAGGGAGTAATAGAGTTTTCGAGTGGCTTCGAAAATTTCCTTGACATTTCCTCGACGCAGATTTCTCGCGAACTAGAAAGCGTTCGAAACAACTGGAGCACCTATCAGAAAGCGTAAATCTTCTACTTTACAACGCTTTCCTCCGATTTTCAAAGCATTGCCAATGAAGACAGCTACTGTCTTCCAAGAGTGGGAACTCGCATGTAAATTTCAATTTCCTCGACAATTTCCTCGACGTCTCCCACTCTCGAGAATAGGCGTGCTTAGAAAAACGCTCAGCACAATTTAGAAAACTAGAAGTCTTGTGCATTCAAAAGCTGCCTTCACTTTCTGAAATGGTTATCAATGAAAAGTTATAGTCCTTTGAATAGGGGGTACATTTGACGATTTTTCCAACTAGCGCGCTCTAGGCACAGCGCGCGACGCGATCGCGGGTAGTTAGCGCCGCTATACTGGAGCGCGAGACTGTTCAACTGTGTAGGGGCAGTACCTCCTTCAATGTTCCACTTTCCGGCCAATGTGGCAAAGGTTAAATGTCTTTAAAGGAAAGAAAGAATTGAATCTAGCATTTGGATCAAGCCGCATTTGCGTGGCAGCGCGCTGCGTCCCTCTCGCACATCTGAAACTAGCATTTTTTGATATGAAACCGGATGTGCAGAGGACAAAAAGGGGTCGTATCAGAGTCCATGTTTTGGAGGGGGGTCGTAAAGAGGCGGTTATTTCCTCGACACGATTTTCACCCTGCTGGACAGGCGTTCCTCCGATACATGGAGGATACAGTGTCTAGTCAACCATTTACAGTTCCTTTGGAACGCAACGCAAACCTCGCCCATATGATGGGCGCGCAATGTGATTTCAAGAGTTTTTAAGGCGGTTTTCTTTCCTTCCATCGCTGACGCAATCGTCGCATAACAATCATTTTTGAACGCGATCATCTCCCATTCAGCTGCGGAATGTTTCTTCAGAAATTTCGCCCTGTTCTTTGCGTTATACAGGAACCATCCTATGAAAGGCACTAATCATTTATACAGCACGAAGTTTTTCATGATTAAAAAATATATACATATACATATCAGCATGAGGGGAGGGGAGGGGGCTAAGGCGTGCGGTCAGCATTTTCATCTTTGCGGACCCTCATAGCAATTAATCGACCCTGTGAGAAAAACAGCACGCGATCCGAACTGGAAATTGACTTGACCCTGCGCCCGATGAAAGCACCACATGCCACTACACCCCAATGTTGCTCAGATGTAATATTATTGGAATACTTAAATTTTCGCCAATATTCTTATCTTTTTGCCTTGGCATAGCGGTTGAACGAAAACGTTATCTTATTTTTTCCATTTTCCGCTGAAGAAATGGAACAAAATCATTCCATACCTACAAAAGTATAATGAGCAAAATCATTTCTTACCTACAAAAGTATAACTTCAATGTGGACCCTTAACAACTTAGGACCCATCTGTAGACCTTTTAGTCGATATTAAGCTCTCATAGTTCCTTATTCATATTTCGGAAACATTTTTCACTATTTCAAAAAAAAACTTTCAATACCTTGAGCTTCGATACAGTAGTGACTGGTCCACATATTTTTAAAAGTGAGGTTGTTTAAGGTTAGGTTTCCAAAACGGTTCCTTGTATGTAAAAGCAAAGCACGGAATTCAAAACGTGTTCCCATTTTTGCCGTTTATGTCAAGCAGCCCTCTTACAAAAAAGCGTGAAAAGGTATTTTCAAGTTGGACCCCTATGAGGGCAACAAGTGCATTTTCGAACGCCAAAACGAATCATATGCAAGATCAAAACACTGTGTTATCCTTCTAGCACAAGACAAGTTCGAGAAATGAAGCAAGTCGGAGCCTGCTCCAAGAAGGAAAACAGCAGACCCACAAGCTAGTGGTGCTGAGGGGACACGCACGATGTCAATCGTCGGGCTTTTCGCTTTTTCAGAGTGGCAGTTTGGGTCCTCAGATTTTTTACTGATGATGCTTCTATTGGATAGCTGAACCGTTTTTAGGGATGACGAGTAATGTGAAATGTGAAGCGGGGAGATTTCTGGTTCCTATGTGAATCATCAGCAAGGAATACCGATAGTTTTACCTAATCTCCAAATTATTAGTTGCCATGTATGATGGGCAGCCACCCATAACGTCCTGATTTTTTTTTCGGATTTACGTCAAAATTTCAACTCTTCCCAAGATGATTATGCAGTGCACTGAACACAAATGTGACACCCATTTTTGGTGCCAGCCCTATTGAGCTACACAATTTTTTTCTCAAGCTTTAATTGAGACCTACCTTGCAATGGTTGCTGGAGGTTTTTATAATGAATACTAGCGAAAAATCGTGCTTTGGGTACGATAGAGGTTTGTTCTGCGCAGTGACTGGCACCCAGGGTCGGTCGCGTCGGTCGTTTCAAAAAAAGTTCAGCGATTTCTTCTAGAACAACTACGCCTCCTACGTTCCATAAAACACACTACGTGTGCTGGTTTTTCCGGAGAACGAATTGCCCTGCCCCAGTCTCTTGCAAGGACTGGAAATGTGGAGAGCTTCTTGAACCTGCTGTTAGCCGTACTGGGTGGAACTACAACTGATTAGCGAGCGGCCCATCTGCGCTCTCCCTACGAACCGCAAACACGACTCGTAAGGCCTTGCCATTTAAGGCGGTGTCGATAACTTGCAATCGAGGCGAATCGCTGCAATCGCCGGATACGAGTGCTGCAGCACAGCAAATCGAGCTGTGTATCAGCGTTTTGAACGATGTACCAGCGACTTGACACTGTTTGAAAGTGGGGCGACACCCTTTGAACCTTGGCTCTCGGCACTCTCTCAGACTCACGATGGCGTGGGAGGGTGCAGAAGTGCGTAGGCTCGAGTGAGTGTTCCAAGGGCTCGGGAAAGTGGCGTGAGTCAAGGTTCGAAAGGGAGTGCTGCCAATTCCAAACAGTGTCGGATCGCTGGTACATTCACTAGCAAATCGCTGGATTCGCAGTCAGCTCACCCTCCTCGAATGAGCTATCCACCAATGATAAGCGCGCACAAATCGTACTAACCCCGCCCACACTCAGCCATCAGCGTAGGACGCGCCAGTGCCATGAATTATTGGCGTCTACAGACACAAGTGATCGCATCTCCTTCGGGAACTCCACTCTTGAGTGATCACTGGATAAAAGAGGCGACCTTAAACTTACGAAAGCCAAAAAATGCATATGGAGCATCTTTCCATTCCCGTATACACTGACGGTTTCATTCCTTCAGGTCGATAAAAAAGCAACTCTAACTTATCATATTCCATGTGAAATGAACGCAGTCAATCGTTTTCAGGTCAGAGACACATTACTGGACATCAACCGGACAGCGTTCACCAGAAGCCACAAAGCGTGACAACAAGCAGAGATAGATCAGTCTACATGACTTTTCTCGCAAAACTACACATCAAAACAATATTTTTATTCAATCACATCGTAATAATACTCGTATACCAGTTGTGAGAGAAAACCGCATCACACGGTACACCCGTGAAATAATTGTAGGTGATATTAAAACAGCCTTACAGCTCAAGTAAGGGAACCCCAATTGGGTCCCGAACGAATCTTGACCGGTAAAGGAACAAGAAATTCTGGAAAGACATTTTCCATGCATGATCGCACCCACTGTTTAACGTCATCTTCTTCATTTAATGGACACTCAACGATGATTTCGTCATGAACGGTCATCACTATTCTCGTTGCACCTGCAAATAAATAGATTAATTCCTATTGAGAAACAATAAGGACAGGCTTAGATGGATGATTCTCCATGAACGAAGTTTCAGGAAAGACATCACTTCAGTAAGTCGACGGTAAAGACCTCACTTTTTCGACTTTGGTCAAGTGCCACAATCGCTCTCTTGAAGATTTCGCTTGCGGTGCCTTGGATTGTATAGTTGATGCTCTGTCGATCGTCTCTTGCCACGTCTTCTTGACGTCCCCGAGCGCTACAGGTTACCCGTCTTCGACCGAAAAAAATTCAAGTTACTGATCGAAAAGCGATATGCTTATTACAGAGTTACGCTTTGTAGTGAAGGATTCAAACCGGTCTTCCTTACGGAACGAAATGCCCTTACCTAAGATTGTAGTAACAAAACCAGCTTTCACAGCTTGATCCTTAACATTGTTGATGTACGTCCTCACCCCTGCGAAGAAAAATATTGGTATTCTCCCTGGATAATGCGTAAAAAAAACCACGCGGCACTCAGCTAGGTACAACGATTGAGAGAATTTTAATGATTTCGTCGGCTTTCTTCTACAGATTTCTTCACAGTCTCAGCAAGCGTTTTCGCTCCCATCCCGTAGATAACACCATAGCACAGCTGTTTTGCTATATCACGTGAAATGCTTAACTTTGACGACATATCGGTAAACACATCTTGTCCTGAAAAAGCTTGTATCGTTTCAATATCTGATTCCGTAATTTTTGATTCACCGACAAGTTCATGCAGCCTCACTGAAGAGGGATAGTAGAGCTACTACCTCCACCCTGTGCATCGTTCTCTAAAGCGGACCTTTTTCACCTCCCCTCCAAATCGCGTCACTCAGGCACGCAGTGTTGGAAGGTGATGTAAGGGGTCCGTTAATAAAATACCATTAACCAGGGAGGTCTTCCAGGAAATGCCAAGCTTTTTCAAAACGGTTTTTTGCATGATATAGGGACACATGCATGGAACACCAAACTGCAGTTCATTTTTCCTGAGCGGCCCTCTGAATACCAAAAAAGGAGCGAAGAAAAAATTTTTAAGGAACTGCCGTTCTAACCGCTTTTTTGTGACGTACATCGCACACAGCGTTGACCAGTGTCATATCGAAAAGGTTCTCATGAATTGTACATTGAAAACAGTGCGGAATTCGGTCAAAAATAAAACGATCTCCTTGGCATGTATTGAAACTGTTGTGTATTATTCATCAGCGCCGTATGAAGCGAAGCTATAAGCGGTAGTCGGATGGTTAGTGGTGCGGTCTGTGAAACGGAAGGGAAAGGGCCGGTGTTGGTGGTTCGACTCCCCACAGTGCCAAGTTTTGCTTTTTTTCTAGTTGTCTTTTCCTGTGATCGTGCACTCCTGCGCATGCATATATGCGGATTTTATGTCTACCCATGGTCCAACTGTTCGAAGTTGGGACGAAATCTTAATTTTCCCTGAAACTTTCGGGTTAGGGGTTATTCGGCGTCCTGATTACGAATATTCTATTAGTTTTTAGCGTAAACGTCATTTGAATTCGCTATGACGCCATTGGGCGCTACGACGGCGCCGTTTTGGTATCGCAACTTTCTCCACCAGATTTTTTAGTCAAAATCTACGTATGAAGGTTGCTGTTACTCCTAGTTATAGATATGACATCTGCTATTCACGCTGACATCCTTTTTCGTAAACTTTGGAGCGCGAACATAAAATGCAAAAAAATTGTCACTGTGAGGATTCGAACTACGGACCACTTCATAACCCCTTTTTTGGTATTCAAAGGGCCGCTCAGGAAAAATGAACTATAGTTGCGGCATAAATATGGTGACAAAAATGTTCTGAAAAAAGCACAGTAACAAAACATTGAGCGAGTCCCTTGACTGCATGGTAAAATTCGCCAGATTTCTCTGTATATAAATCCCCGGTCTTGTGCTTTGATAACTCTTCATTGTTTAATGGTGTCACCTCATCCGAATCGAGCTGCAATTCTTGCCCTTCACGCCGCCGGTCATACTCCTGCCGAGATATGCCGTATACTCAAAATGCATCGCCAGACCGTCCATAGGACTTTAAAGCGAGGCACAGTTGATGATCTTCCTCGTGGAGGTCGTCCAGCCTCGGTGGCTACGAATCGACTCGTAAAAGTGGTCAGGAAAAGAATTCACCGCAACCCGGCAAGGAGCATGAGGAAGATGGCTAAGGATTTGCAAGTATCAGAGCGAACGATGAGAAGAGTAGTGCACAACAAACTTGGGATGCACTCTTACAAGCTCCAAAAAAGACAGGCTCTCTCGGACGCTCAGAAGAAAAGTAGAGTGGAAAAATGCAGAAAGCTCTTGGAGAGGGCCGCAAACGGTGCGCATTTGAAGACTCTCTTCACCGACGAAAAAGTTTTCACGATCGAGCAGGTATTCAACCGCCAAAACTCTCGTGTGCTCTCTAGGACATCCGAAGAAGCTGACAGAGCCGGAAGAACAGTCACTCGAAGTTCACATCCTGCATCGGTAATGGTTTGGGCAGGAGTATCTGCTGATTCGCGCACTCCATTGGTTTTCGTGGAAATGGGGCTGAAAATTGACGCCAGTTACTACCTCGAAGAAATTTTGAAGAAGGTCGTGGTCAACTGGACTCCTGGGAGTGATTGGATTTTCCAGCAAGACGGTGCGCCAGCTCACAGATCGGTTTTTGTGCAGAAGTGGTGCCGAGCCAACTTGCCCAACTTCATAGCAGCAGAAGACTGGCCCGCTAATTCCCCCGATTTGAATGTGATGGACTACTCGATTTGGTCGATCTTGGAGCAGAAGGCTTGCGCTAGAAAACACAATTCGATTGGATCGCTGAAACGTGCTCTACGAAAAGCGTGGGATGAAATTCCGCAGGATGTCATCCGGGCAGCAGTAGAAGCGTATCCGGCCCGTCTCAAGGAAGTTATCAAGTCCAAAGGAGGCCATATTGAGTGATATTGTAATTTTTTGTTTGTAATGATATGTATAAATGTTATGATTGTTTATATCCAATTTCGATTGAAACTTTGAAAATAGAGCAAATTTATTTTGTCACCATATTACGCACGCTGTATATTTTAGTGTTCATGTAGTACTCCTATATACGCAAAAACACGCGTGTTTGACAAACTTGGCATTTCTTGAAGACCTTCCTCATAGTGTGACATTTTAAAGAACACGTTCTGCTGAAAGGTAGATTTCTTGTGAAGGTGGGTGTTGGCGATGTGCAACGCTATTCGGCAATGAATTCACGGATTCAATCTTCGCCCTATAACAAAAACCGCCTGAACTGAACGCACACGGGCATGAATGCACACGTTATTACTAATTCTGGATGGAATAGAGTGTAGCGCATCCCATACAATGGTATTGCTCAAAGGCTCAATTTTTCATTTGTCCCTGAGATCTACAGTAGCAGTAGAGAGCAACAGTTTGCTTTAAGTCCAGAAATGCTTGAAAGGAACAACAGTCCACAGGCGGGCGTGTCAAAGCGAATCCCCTCGGCCGATTCCGACCACGCCCACTTCAGCTCCCTCCCTAGCGGCTTTCCAAGGTGAGTTTTTGTTCAGTCACACTTCTTACGTTCTTGACTAGGGGCTGAACAGCTCCGAAGTGGGAATCGGCCGAGGGGATTGCAGCCGTTTCCGACCACGCCCACCCTGCTGGGACTGTTTAACCCATTCGCGTAATGTCAGCCACCGGTGGCTGACGCGAAGATGTCCACTTCGGACCATGTCAGCCACCGGTGGCTGACGGGCTTTAAATGGAATTTTTGAAAACAAAAGGAGGTCTTTGAGAGATTTTCTTTGCTGTGAAGAATCTTCATACCCTCATCTATCTAGGCCACCCCTGGGCAGAGGAAATCTCTATCCACTAGAATTTTATTGAAGAAAAAATATCCTGACTTCAAAATTTCACCGAAAAAGTTGAAATTTTTTCCGCTGAAACTTTTCCCATGGGGGTTTTCGAGGGTCCTGATCTCAAATATGATATCCATTTTTTGCGCTGGCGCCAAATTGGCGCCATTTGGCGCCAGTTGGCGCCAAGGGTGTATTCACCAAATTCGCTGTAAACTTGCGTATGGGGGTTATTTGAGGCCCTGATTACGAATATGACATTCGTTTTTAGCGCTGGCGCCAAATTGGCGCCATTTGGCGCCAGTTGGCGCCAAGGGTGTCTTCACCAAATTCGCTGTAAACTTGCGTATGGGGGTTATTTGAGGCCCTGATTACGAATATGACATTCGTTTTAGTCGTTGGCGCTATTTAGCACCTGTTTCCTGCTCGCCTGCACCCTCTCACTATTGGATCCAATCAGGACTAACAAGGGGGGTCGTTCAGGATGTGGAAAGCTTTTTCGAAACGGTTTTCTGTATGTTATGGGAGCTCATGCGTAGACTACGAAACCGAGGTCCATTTTCGCTGAGCAGCCCCGCGAAGGCCAAAAAAGGTGAGGAAATGGTCCAAGGTTCAATCCCTCATGATGACAAAATTTTTGCATTTAGGTTGGAGCTTCCAAATTTGCTCCTAAAACACCAAGAATAGATATAATGTTCATTATAAAGACATACCACCGGTGGCTGACATTGCGCAATCGCCTCTGCCGGCGCTGGTCCGAACGGGCAGTCTTCGAAAATCCCGCCCGGTCGCGAGTGGGTTAACAGAACGCAAGGAGAGGAATTAAAAAAGTGAAGACCGTCTGTATGTACTTGACCTTGATTCAGGATATCTACAAGAGCGGCATCTCCACTAAGATGTGCTAGTACACGAAGCTCCAGCTGGCTGTAATCGGCGCTGACCAACACACACCCTGAAATAAATATTACCATTATTGTGTATGACCTATGCAGGAATCGTATACTACATTTATCTATCCTGGAAGATATCTCAAAGAAAAAAGCGATATAATTCTCATGTTAGTTCTTGTTCCCTTTCATACAACTTGACATAAAGGACTTGAAATCACTTGCCTGGTTGAGCTTTGAAAAAGATGTCGGAAGACTGATTCCATCAACCACTTCTTCTTTCGGTACTGTCTGCACGTTCGGTTCCAAGCAAAGAATGCGTCCCGTTGAGGTGTTCATGTCGCAGTGGCTCCTTACCATCCCATCATCGTCAACGAAATGTTGCAGTGGAGCAAGACATTGCTACGAAAACGATATGAGGACTAGCTATCTCGTGTAATGCACCAGAATAAAAGAGAACAAAAAGAAAAGAATTCGCAAGCCCACAAAATATGAAAAGAAATGAATGAATGAGTGAATGAAGTTTGAAACAATATTTGACTATTTTCATATCGGAACATTGCGGTAAAAGCAAAACGCCTTTTGATTTGGATTGATGTCAAATGTTTGTACAGAACTGCAATTAGTTACCGTAAGAGCATGCTTGAAGCGACGATACAGCAGAATGTTCGCTACCACTGGATGTTGTGTTTTCATCTGCTCCAGAATCGCTTTGTTGGTGGAAAGATGTCGTTTTGTTGATGAACCGCCGGGACAATTGAGTTTGAGGCGAGAAAAGAGCACCTTAAAATAAATACATCGAGTAGAAGGGAAGTACAGAAAAGACTGACTAGGGAGATGCCAAAGGGCGACTGATCTCATTAGGAACTCTACATTTTGTATGTTACCGTGGTTAGCTTATGTTCCAAAATGAAACGAGAACAAAAATATGTGAAAGGCCAACCTCGGACACTTGCTTTGAGCTGTCAAGGTTGAACTGCTGTCCAACAAGTCTAAAACACTCGCTTTCCAATTTCTCTATATTGTCCTTCAACCGTTTGAGCAACGATGAACAAAGGACACGATCAAAGCAGAAACCTCCCAAGCACATACTGTTAACCGCCTGAATATGGAGTACATAAATAGGGATTCGACGCTACTGCGAAGTGAGGATAAGCGATAAGAAATTCTTGCAAAAGCAATTGCCTGTCCAATCAGTTGAATGCATAGGATCCACTAATTCATACCTGAAGGGATTGCATCTCAAGCTGAAGACTTTCTTTAGTTGAGCAATTGATGACGATTGGAGTGAGAATACCAACTAGCCTGAAAACAGGACCAATCCAGGCAGGGAGTTCGGTCAAAGAATAGGTACACACCTTGACACTAAGTATGCCTGAACTGCTGATGAGATCCGTGGATTCATAACGAAGTGAAGCTGTATTCAAACTCAATGAAACTTCCCTCATCTCAGAAAGAGGCAGCACGTGATCACCACGTCGTAGTGCCCAAGAAAAGCCATATAGGACACACATTTCACCCGTGGATTCTGGAAATACTTATTTTAGGGGTTGTCCAAAATCATGTGAATCAGCGTTTACAAACCTTCAAGTCGAACTTTTGCTGCAGGAGATGGCAGTCTCTGAGTGCGGCACACCAAGAGGCAGCTCACACGACTGCAGAATGGAACAGACACAGGAGACACGTTCGTCGAGGGCTATTGACTGTGAAGGGGTTGATGATGGACAAATAGCCTCCTCCTCCTCATTCCCTACACAAAAGTTAATACTAGATGCATATAAACTCAATCAGGTAAGGTCTTTGAAAAGAATCTCTTTAATCCCTCTATGAGCCGAACCGCTACCTGGAAAGTACTCCTCAGTCAGAGGTATGAAGTGAGGAGAACCGTCAATGGGGCAAAGACAGATGCCCTCTACTCTTTCACACGAAGCAGAGAAGCGCCTTTTTGTCAAAACCACTCCAACTTTACTCCAAAGAGAACTGCGTTGCGTGAAATAATTCCAAGCTGATTCAGTCCTGCAAAGGTTTTACTACTGTGAAAGAACGTTCACGTTACATATTGTAACCTGCACCCACCTGCAGACGTCGTTTATGTCGAGATACGTTTTTATGGAGCGGAAACTGTTAACTTTTCAGTACGCAAATTCTTCCCCAAGACTTGCTGAAAAGGTGATTTGACCTGAAAATTTATAAATAAGCAAGTTAGGCAAAACTACATATAATACGAAAACTTAAATGTTCGCAACTACAGAGGTGGCATCCGACCATAAGTGTGCAAAGTGCAATATTTCCCCTTCACAATTGCTCAATTTCGTTGAGCTATCAGAGTTTCTTTTGATGTTTACCAACGAACCACAAGGTATCCCGCCTAAATTAAGCGATCACGCTGGCTCCCACGTAGATCTGCTGCCCACGCGTTATAAACCGTTAAAGTAGAGACATAAACATAATGGTTGGACGAGCGTAAGCCCACGAAAGGTATGATGCGATGATGAGTTGCTTAGTAGAGGCACACTTCGGAAACCAGAAGATAACAACAACGATATCATATCAAGCACGCTGCCATCGCAACCCCTTCCACATCGATATGGATTTGTTTTTGCTACCCGAAAGTGGGTTTTCGGCGCTTTACACATTGATAAGTCAAATGCCACTGAAAACTACCTGCTGTCTCATTAGAAAGGACACCCAATCTAGAACGTAACTTTCCTTATTCCATAGGAATTAGCGTAACGACTTCACTTAACCATGCTCACTGACTTTTCAGAGCGCTTCGTGTTTAACACTGATCACAAAAATAAAAGCAAACAAATTACCAAAACTGGTTGTCGAGCCCTTTTTATGGATGGATGATGCCGATCGGGTGTTCCATTGGAGATTCTTTCTGCTAAAGGCGATATGGGAGCCTTTTCTGAATTATTCAGCTTTAGCAAGATATCCTGTGAGACTCATAAGCATAATGTTTATTTTATTTATCTATAGCTTTTCACAATGTTAAGCTGACAAATTATTATGTGAATAGTAAAGGAATCACAATAGTTATTTAAAAAGAGTGAATAAAAAGGAGCAAATAATTAGGACGCAATTCTGAAGAAATGATGCAAACGGCAACTACAGCTCGTGAGGTATTGGGTTAGAAGGAGATGCCCGAAAAAGGTGGCGAAGGGCAATGGCCTTCAACATTGCATTTGCATTGTATTGATATCTGCAAGAACTGCTCAAAAGCCTATCAACACTTCATATTCTGAATTATGCTAACGTAAGGGCGGAAGTGGTGTAGTGGCAAGTGGCACGCTTACCACGCGAGCGGTCCGGGGATCAAATCCTGGGTCGTGAGTCGCCCGGGCCAACCAAGCCTTCCATCCCTCCGGGGTCGGTTAATTGGTACCAGACTTGTCTGGGAGGATAAAAACACTGACTACATCGGCTGGCCCCGCAAGTCATTGTATAGGCCACATCGCATTCAAACGCCACTACGAATGTACAAATGGAAGTAGAATGCGTGCCGCATCCCAAAAAGGGATTGATCAACGGCAAATGCTTTATCCTTATCCTTATGCTAACGTACCTGCAAGAAGTCGGTCACACTCTTAATATTAGCGCATTAATTTTACTCGACTATTGAACATCCTATTTATGGCCTATAACATGTATGGCCTATAATATGAACACAAAAAAACTTGGGAAGAAATCGGGCATGTGCGCAAAAAATAAATGTAATGGGTGTGGCATACATAGTTGCCACAATGTCCGATGAGGTGCAAAAATGGCGGCATACATAGTTGCCGCGCTGTCGTCAAGGTGTTAAATGGTGAGCCGTAAGAAATTTCTGGAACGGAAAGGCATTCAACTTCCCATGGAACTTTACAGACCCAGATACCTTCAAACTC